TATATATATATATATATATATATATATATTAAATTGAGGATTTTGAAGGACAATGAGTTAGTTCACTGTTTAGGATGAATTACACCTGTTATGAAAAATTTTATATAGTTCGGAGTAGAAGAAATCATGAAAAGTTTGATATGTGGCAGATAATGTGGTTAGGAAGGGTGCATTAAGAAGAAATGCTGGGGAGATTCTTTTTTATGATCTTGTTTAAATTTCTTATTGTCCTGTGCCTGTTACTAATGTGGGTGGTCTTTCTCAGTTACTCGGCTTATTTGATTCGGGAACATCTCGTGCTGCTGCAATGCTTGATTTACACCATCGGATTCTTCCTCCTGCATTCCTTTCGAAATATCCGAAGGAAGCTGGATTCTGTCTCTGGCTACTTCATCCTGAACCTTCATCACGCCCAACAACCAGGTACTTGTGATTTCTGATTTAGTTTTACCATCAAAATATCTTCTCTTCACAAAAAAAGAAACTTCCCTTCAGTCTTGTTTATTGTTTGAACTGCATAGAGATATAGAATCGTGCAAGACTTGATGGAGGAAACCTATCTTGAGGAACCGAAAACACCATGGACATGAAAGAAGTGAATATAACTTGCATGTAAATTCTCCTTACAAAGATAATAAACAGTTATTGTAAAACTAATAAATTTTTAGTCTCTAGAAAGTCTAAGATGTCAAGTTGAAGTTGCTGACCAATATTTACAAAATGATGGTTACATAAAGTTTTTTTTTCTTGATACACGTAAGTTTCAGCAAGTGATTTTTGGGATCACCGTTATAAAACAGGGAAATTCTACAATCAGAATTTATGAAGGGAATTCAAGACTTATCTGGAGGCGAGTTATTACCATTAATTGATGAAGAAGATGGAGAATCAGAGTTGTTATTGTATTTTCTCCTGTTAGTAAAAGAGCAAAAGCAGAAGGATGCGTTCAAGTTAGTGGAACATATCCAGTACATAGAAGGAGATATCGAAGAGGTTAAGAAAAGGCAGCCTAAGAAATCACTTATTCAATCTTCCTCGTCTCTGGAGCCTTCAAATGTAAGTGGGAGCAGCGTTACTCGCAGAGGAAATTTAAGTTCAGAATCTCTTTCAAAGATTATCCCAGGACATGACAACGAGATAAAATTGATGAGCAACATCAGGCAACTAGAAAACCCTTACTTTTTGATGCGATCCAATGTTCAGCTTGCAGATAGTGATGTAGTGACTCGTAGAGATACAGAACTGTTGAAAAGTCGAGAGAACTGGAGCATTGCGGGTAATAATGATAGCAAGTACAAGACCTCAGATCGTTTAGGGAGTTTCTTTGATGGTTTGTGCAAATATGCTCGCTACAATAAATTCAGAGTACGGGGGATATTACGGAATGGAGATTTTAATAATAGTTCCGCAAATGTGATATGCTCTCTGAGTTTTGACCGGGATGAAGACTATCTGGCTTCGGGAGGGGTGTCAAAGAAGATAAAGATATTTGAATTTCAAGCTCTGTTTAATGATTCTGTTGACATTCATTATCCTGTTATTGAGATGACAAACAAGTCAAAGCTCACAGGCATTTGCTGGAACAACTATGTCAGGAACTACCTTGCTTCAACTGATTACGATGGCATTGTTAAGGTTAATATTCTTTGTGCATTGCTCTTCTATTAATTACTGGGATAATGATTAAGAGTCCTGGCCATATAGCTGGCTACTTAATTGACCATAGCAGGTGGCTAAGCTTAGAAAAAAGTAAAAGTTTAAACTTTTAAATTTTCAAACATGTTTGGATAATTTATTTTTAAGTAAAAAAGTTACTTATTTTGATATTAACTCTTGCTTTAGTATTGAAAGAAGTAACTTATTTCCAATATTCACTGATAAAAAGAGTTATATTCTTTTAAAGTTACTTAAGTAAAATTTTTAAGCTTAGCCAAACTTGCTCCTAGAATTCACAATTAAGCAGTTTCCAGATGACCCCTACTAACACCAGAAGTCAGTGCATACTCTTTTTGTTACGTACTTTATCTAATGTGAGGAAGCAAGACATCAACATATTAACTCACTCCACAAGTCAGAATGTAGAGAAACATCCGTCGTGTACTTAGAAGCAAACTAAGCTTCCAGGGTAAAATTCAAAAGCTTGAGAGCTAGAAATCATGTAGATTTTGTATTATGTTGAATATCTCCTTACATGACATCATAGTCAAGAAGTAAAGAGCAATGTTTTTGTTAATGGACAAAAGGCAACAGATTAATGAATTACGTGCACAGCACATCATTTTTGAAAAATTGCTAAACACAAGACTTAAAAGAATGGGGCAGTGAAGAAGAACTTCATGGTGTTTTTTAATATATACGTTGAGTGGAATCATGAAGTCCACTTAAAGGGAGTTGGCTCTATGATTTACGTTCACTGTACGATGGTTATATCTGTACTTTTAAGTTGACGAGAACTTTTGAAAAGGACACGGGGCATGTTTGAGTAGACTATAAAAACAATAATTCTAAGTGACTTTTTGTACCCAAACTCAAATTCTTTTTACTATCAAGTAAAAAAATTTGCTTATTTTGAAAGTAACTCTTGCCTAACTTTCAATGAACTAATTTCTCACCTTGACCAATGAATTGTTCTATTTTTTAAAACTTATCTATTTACTAATAAGCAAAATTTTTAAACTTCGCCAAATGCTGTCTTAGCCTTCATGTTGTAGTTGACATCATAACCATGCAAGTGGAGGTCATTGTCCTTGAGGAGCAGTAAGCCTCATGTCTGTCAAGAACTTTTGTGGGCGCTGGGACTGTGAATATTTTTTTTTTCAGGATTTCTGTCTTTTTCTCTCATATCTGTGCTTAACTTTTATGAGTTTTTTAAGTTACTGTTTGGCCCACGAAGATAGAAAGGTGATATATTTGAGCTTTCACACATAAATTGGGAAAAGATGTTGTGATGAAACTGTGATCATCGTTAAATAACAGAATATTTGAAAATCTTTTGAAACATTCTCTAACTACTGGTATTATAAACTGCCATCTACTACACTTTTGGACGTATCCAGTTCCCCACCTTGGTTCTTGAAGCTCAAATTAGAGCACGAATCCATCAGCTTCAGAGTTGTCACTTTCTGATTTCCCCCAATGATAGTATATGTGTCCATTAATTTTGTATCTTTAGCATCAAAAGTGTGCATGTTGAAATGGTTGTGCAAATTTAGGTTGTCTACAGTGTGATTCTTAAAAAACTATACATCCTCGTATATATCTACCTATTTCAGTTTTCCTCTTGATGCTCTGACTTGTGAGCGCTCATATTGATATGCAGTACTTGCTTTCCTAATGATCTTTTGACAAGATGCTTAAAAATACTTGTAGTTATGGGATGCGACAACTGGTCAAGTCTTCTCTCATTTCATGGAGCACAGTGAAAGGGCTTGGTCTGTTGATTTCTCCCGTGCAGATCCCATGAAATTAGTGAGTGGAAGCGATGATCGTATGGTGAAACTTTGGAGCATCAATGAGGCATGTTGTCGTCTTTTCTCTTTTATATTTATGTTTCTTATGCAATGTTACTGACTGCTGTCCTACTCTTTCCAAGAGTCCCATCTTTTGGGTCTTATTCCTTTTTCTTCGAATTGAATGGTTATCATGTTTGTCTTTACCTATATGCCAAACGTATGTTTTACTAACAAAACTTCCTTTAATGAAAGCAAGTCTTGCTTTAATGTTTAAGCCCATCCAAACATGCTTATATATGCTTCAAGTGCTTTAGCATTTTTTTGGTGCAATATAAAAGGAGTCATTCAACTGATTTTTCTCATTTGGTGCAGAGAAACAGTTTATGCACAATTAGGAACAATGCAAATGTCTGCTGTGTTCAATTCTCAGCTGACTCCAGTCATATGTTGGCTTTTAGCTCGTCCGATTATAAGACCTATTGCTATGATCTTCGCAATATTTCAACTCCTTGGTGCATATTGGCTGGCCATGGGAAAGCTGTAAGTTATGCAAAATTCTTGGATGCTGAAACTCTTGTTACTGCATCCACCGACAACACTTTGAAGATTTGGGATCTCAATAAAACAAATTCCCATTGTTTATCAAGAGATGCGTGTATCTCAACACTTAGAGGGCACACAAATGAGAAGGTTTGTAACTCTGGCTCTCAAGTTTAATCATCATATTTTTGGAAGAATTGCACTGTTGGTCCTCGATCTATTTCCCCACTAACAAGTTAGTCCTTGACCTCTTATTATGGTTGGACAAGTAGTCCCAGTGATGGAAAACCGCCAAATCTTTGTTAAATTGGTCACATGGCCCTCATGAAACGCGCATAACTTCAAATTTTTGGCACCAACCAAAGTTGGGAAGAAATCTGGATTCATAATGTTAGACAAGTGAGAACCATGTGATGATTTAACATAGCAATGAAACATTTCCATCAATGGGGATTGATTGTGAAACTATAATTAATGGTTGAGTACCGACTTGCTCATTTTTTAAGGTTGGGAACCAACTAGCCACTCGGCAATAGGTTGTGGGACCAATTGGTGCATCACGCCTTAATTTTTTGATGTATTACCCTGCCATTTTAACTTTGAGCTCTTGCTCCTACAGAACTTTGTGGGTTTATCAGTTGCTGATGGATACATTGCATGTGGGTCGGAGACGAATGAGGTTGACTTCATTTCTAGCTTCTACATATAATAATTTTGACAAGAAAACCGACTTGACTATAACTCAAGCTTTTTCAACCAATGATCATAAAATTGTGCCTCATCACTAAGGATCAATATGTAATGGATACTTCGGGTGAACTCATGCACAACAGAGAACCATTGTCTATTGAGGTCAATGTTGTGGACTACGTGATGTTTATTTTAATTAAGCAAGGTTTTGGCTTTCCTCGAGCTTTATTTTCTTATTATAAAGCATTTGGTTAAGCTTAAAATATAAGTTTTAAAATATATAATTTTTTTTATCACTCAAATTGGGAAACAAGTTACTTATTTTGAGTGTGTTAAGAGCTACATGTTCTTGGGGGCGATTCTGTTGCACCTAACTGAAGAATCATAAGCAAACCTTAAAATATCAAGACCATTGTTGATCTGATTCAGTCGGCTCAATTTTTATTCACTCAAATTCTATTTCATATAATTCATGAGAACATCTTGTTTCCAGATATTCGTCATAAATGAAATATAAAATAGAATCATGAATGATCAGTTTTCTAGTATGTGTTTCTTGTGCTCTTTTAATGAATACCATCCATAATTTTGAATTTCCTTGAGTTCATTAATTGTCTGCAGGTGTTTGCCTATTACAAATCCCTGCCGATGCCAATTACTTCCCACAAATTTGGTTCCATCGATCCCATTTCTGGTAAGGAGACTGAAGACGACAATGGACAGTTTGTTTCAAGTGTTTGCTGGAGACGGAAATCAAATATGGTGGTTGCTGCCAGTTCCACTGGTTGTATAAAACTTCTGCAGATGGTCTAGAAGTAAATTAACCCTCAATCAGCTGCGACATTTGTGGCATGTCTGGGAAGGTGAATTGGACAACACCAGACTATCACAAAAGGGAAAATATAAGTTATGAAGATGAGCTCGAGTTCTGTCATCCATCTCTCGATTATCCCTTTTGGCCCGGAATATTAGACCTTTTTGCCTGAAAGATGCGGCATTTATGCTGTGTTACTTTTTGTTAGACAGTTGGAATTAACGGTCACTCAAAATTGCGAGTGTCTGAATGTTGGCTGAAGGATCTTGGACTATGTTGGCATCTGATATTGATACTACCGTCGGGATTCAGAGTGTTAACAAGAAACTTCTGGATGTTGGTGAGTCGTGTATTAGTATTTGCACGAGTCGTTCAAAACTAATACGGTAGAGTTCTTTGTACCACCAATTTGAACAAGTGATCGATCGGATTGTTCATATAATAGGAATGTAGCTGTAGATGAGTTCTTCGAACCGTTGAGATAGCCGGCTCTGCAGTACTATTGTAATATTGTATATTCCTATGTATGAAAAAGTGTACATACTCAGCTTATATCTTACTGTGATTAGCTGTTTTATATGTACCACTACTTTCTATCCATGAAATATAGAAAGAGAACTTCAAATTACTACTAGTCTGATTCTTTTGTAATTTGTAATTCTCTGTAAATTTATTTTGTTGAATTCTTGATTCAAATGCCTGTTATATTTTACTGATATTGATTGTAATTTTCTTGTTATTTCATTGTTAAGCCGCATTATTAGGTTTAGTGAGGCCTTGAGAAGAGGTTGATGCAAGTAGGCATGTGCACGACCTATTGGTTTGCGTGGAGCCCAATTGTAGAGAATATTTATTCCTGTAGATCGACCTAATTTAGGGATGTGTCAGGTAAAAATATGCTGAAGAGCTTACACATGTAATGAGTCATCGTAATATTTATCATATATAAATTCAGAATGGGGTAGGGGTTTTGTAGGGAATTCCCACCTTTGATCCATTCGACTCGTGCAAGAATACTATATCAAATGATTAATGACGATTTGAATCTCTATTTAATATTTTTTTATAAGAAAAATAGAAGAATTGATGTCAAGAGGAGTACGCCATATTAATGTGCCTCGAATGATCCACATCTCTAGGTCGTTAGGTATTTGACCTAATAAGATTGTCCAGTTTCTATAAAATCTATCACTAAAATCCCTTTAACCTATATAGTAAAGGTATTTAATTAGGAAAGTTAGCTGGGGTTTCTTGTAGACAAGACATAGATGTTAGAAGAATCTCGTAATCTCATCTTTATTATAGGAAAGAAATCTACAACGATAGAGGAATGTAAATCGGGAGTACCCACTATAAATTTTGTGGATACTCGTGTTTATGTTTTTCTTTTTTGCTTATTAAAGGTTAAACCCTAAACTTAAGGGTCCCTCACCACCCCTGCCCTGGAGCATCGTGAGGGAGGTAAATCGCAGGTTATGCCTCCAAGGGTACAGGGTGGAAGGCTGCTTGTACACTTGCACTTACCCAAGAGCCAAATCCATATTTCAGGATTCGAACCCTTGACGCAGCAGCCTCAAGTAAAGCTGGATTTCTCCACCCTCCCCTTTTACCACTTGAAGATGTGCCCTGGGGGCTCTTTTTTGCTTATTATTCTCCCGGAGTTAGGTGTTAAGTTGTATGGAATTTGTGGCCATGATCTTTGTAATGGATTCTGAATTTATATATGATAAAAATAGGGAGCAACTATTTATATTCATGATTGTTATATATTCATCCCACTCTATATTTACACTTATTAAAATATTAAATTAAAAAAAACTACTATTTTCATCCACGTCACATTCTAATTTTGTCCTTATTAAACTCAGGCCCCGTTTAATACTCATTTTTTTTAAAGAATGAGAATTAAAAATATAGTTGTTACAAGAGCTACACAAGAGATAGAAAGTCAAATATGTGACTTGATGTTATGGATAACGATCATATTTTTCATTTTTGTGGCCAAAGAATGAAAACTAAACAGGGCTCAATCATATAAACACAATTGATCAACACAAATTTTATATATTCATTCCGCTCTAAATATATCCCTAATATAATTTCAAAAATTTTAAAGATCACTCTATTTATCTCCATTACATATAGAATCAACATTCTCACAATACAATAATTAATTTTACAGACCAATTATTATAAGATGTGATTCCATGAACCATAAACCCTTATAATCACCGTCACCTTCAATGTGACATGGACTCTATACATAAAAGTATACAATCTATTTTACGGAAAATTAGCAGATTTTTTTTTTTTTAAAGAAGTAATTATCAGATTTTAAACTGTATGTAATAAAATAAATTATAATAAAAGTCAATTGAAGGAAAGAGCAGAATGAATTAGTTATTAATATTTTAGAAGTCTGTGACGGTCAGGGAGAATTTTGTGAGAGTAAAATGAAAGGATTAGAGATATAAAAATGATAATTTAATTAGAGTTAACCCGATTAGAAATATAGAAATAATAATATTATTGTCTAATACCTTATGCTCTTTACCTTTAATTGTCTTTTATTTTAATTTATTTATTGTATAGTTTAAAATCTGTTAATTACTGTTGGAGTTTGGTTTAAAGATTGAAATTTTTGGTTCAGTATAAAACATGAAAAGTAACTTTGTGTCAACTTCAGTCACATATTCAAACTTGATCCGACAGTCAAATTATAAATAGAAATAAACTAATTTATTCTACTCTTCGAGTAGATCATCATGACACATTTGGAATTTCAAAACCAATTCTAAATGAATAAGAAATTGCAGTTCAAATTTGAAAAGAAAAGAGGAAAAATTGGCCAGAAAATGTGTCTGACTCCATTACTTGTCTAGCGCTTGAGTGATGAGATTGTCGCTCGAGATAAAGGAGTGACAGATGGGCAAAAGTTTCTGTTGAATAGTGTCATTGGCGCTAGAGCAATAGGCTAGTGACAGCAATGGATGCTTCCCTTCGTGAAAATTGTTAAGTTTGGGGCTTACCACTACATTCACAACCTTTCATCTTTTATAAATAGGATCCTTTAGACGTCCATTATGCATTATGTATCAATTACATTGAGCATTATATTAAAAACTCTTCAAAATTTTTTCCAAAAATCTTTCTCTTGTAGAGGGAAGAATTTTGTTTGAGTTCATTGTTGCTTTTGGTTTGAAGTGTTTCTACAACAAGTTATACCCGTTGTATATTGAGAGACAAGTATCATAATCCGTTACCATCGTTAAGGAGCAATTTTGTCTTAAAACTCGTATTTATTTTCCTACTTCCTTTTCATTCTTGTTCTTTCTTTTTGTTTCTAATCTTCATAGATAAGCGTAATTAAGCTTAACCATTTTTTATATTGACAAACAACAATTTCCCTACACATATCACCAACAATAACAACTTCTTAAAAAAAAAAAAATCGCTAATTTTCCATAAAATGTGAAGATGATATTTTATGATTAGTAAAGTTTTAGTTAAACACAAATTGTAGAAGGATATAAAAATGTCCACAATAATCAACAGGTTGATGCGTCCACCTCTTCTCAAGGCCTCATTAAACCTACTAATGTGGCTTAACAATGAAATAACAAGAAAAAAAAAAACACATAAATATAACCATTCATTGAAGTGATTAAATCATGAGCTTACGGATAACCATTCTATCAACAAGCATTTAATATTAGATTCCACTTTTGTATGATTCACTGAATTTGCAATTACTTACGTATCATGAATTGGTTCTATTACATCGCTGTCGTGCCTCATCCTTCCTTTTCGTCAAATTAATGCAAATCCCCCACTTCTCTATTATTATTATTATTATTCTTATTATTTCCTAGAATGATCTACCAATTTTTCATTTTTAACAAAAAATGAAAACAAGTTTGTTTATTTAGATTTGCAAAATTTTATTCCTTTTACCATTTTTTTTCTTAAATTTTTCAGCCGACTCTATAGAGACACATGCCTTTGAGAAACTTCTAGAGAATAAATTTGAGTTGCTCCTGAAATTTTTTTATGCCAAACTAATTATTGAACCTTTTAAAATATTGTAGACAAGAAACTTTAGAATAATACATTTATTCGCCAATTATATACTGTCCTATAAAAGGCCACAGCATGCTCAGTTTGGCTCGAGATAATTAAACAGATTCAGGAAATAAGAAAAACAATGGGCGGAACTATTTTCTCTTGTGCTCCTCCATGCACCGCCATGCACGGCGGCGGATTACGTCCAAGCGGCCACCACTGCCAGCAGCAAGCTGCGACGAAAGATAATAAAAATTTATGTTCTTTTCAAATGCCACTCCACTATCCAAGGTACAAGAAATCGGACTACGCGACTATGCCAGAATGGCAACTCGACTGCCTGCTGAAACAGTATGGACTGCCGGTGATTGGAGACATTGATCAGAAGAGGAAGTATGCCATGGGAGCATTCCTTTGGCCTGATCAGTATGAATAGAACAATTTTCATTACTTTTTAAGGATATGGTAATATTTTCATCGTTGTTTGTGATTTGTACGAGTTTATTTTCATAACAGTTTGATTGTATAATTAATATCTATCTCTATTTATAATTTATATACACAAAAGTAATGTAATATAATTATGTATATTATTTCTTGCTTGCTTGTCTCTCAATTATATTTCAATTCATAGCATCCTTGCTTTGATAAAATTGAAAATAATGGAAATATATGTATTGGCATCGAATTAATTAAATTAATTCTTTACTAATTTGTCGTACTTGTGATTATTCTTGATAACTATGATTAACCAATGACATATATTATGTCGAGTGTTGCTCCTACATGTATAAACAAGTTATATTGAAATACATCTAAAAGCTTCTCTAACAATATTGTAAATAAATACGAAGGGCTAAAGTCAAAAATTGCATTTGAAACTAAAAAGTTGCTTTTGAATTTTATGAATAATTTTCTAAAACTGCTTATCATGATATTAAGAAGCTAATTTTGAACATGATTTTGATATTGCTTCTAAATATTTTTTGGATACACGTTATGTTTTGAACATTGGGTATTAAATAAATTTTCGTCACCTTAGTTTCGGCTGTGTATTTCATACTGTTGTCAAAACTAGATCAAACCACAACATATCTACTTATATTCATATCGTATATGAATCAACTACAACCATATTAGAACAAATATTTTGGAAATGGCAAGTTTCATGAATTAAAAGATAGTCTTTAGATGAGTTCTATAGCTAGTTTTCATCGACACTAGTTTACATTATAGTTTAAATTCTGAAAATTCAATGAAACGTCCCGAAATCTCTATATATTCATGAAGGGTAAAATTGTGTCGTGACGAAAAAATTATGCAGTTGCATGTTTGATTGGGATCTTATAATTAATAAGAAAAAATTATAGCATTTATAGGACTTTATCCTATCTTGATAAATCTTTTAATTTGTAAGCACAATTTTCTATGTAAACGTGGAACACTATTTCAGTTGTAAATAAGCAGAAAAAATAATTTCAACAGAAAAAAAAAATTAATAAAAGCAGAAGGAAAAGAAAAGAAAAATTCTCCAACTCTCCTCGCCTAACCCGAACCCAAGCTTCCCTTACAATACAGGAGCCCCCGAATTCGTTAGTCTTTTGACTATTCCTGTAACATAGTTTTGACATCTCGACACATCATTTATTTTAGCAAATGAGAAGATGCTAATTAGGTGTAATATATCTGAGGTGTCAACGACTCGACTCAACTCAGTCCATGTAATGTTAAGCGAGGATTTGGTGGAGGTGGGAAGCATTGGATTGGGGGTTTCTCAATGTTATCTTCACATTTATTTTATTTTCATTTTTATTAATCTTTCAATGAAACTTGATTTATTAACAATTAATTAGACGCAAACCGTCTATCAAACCAACATGTTACAAAATCTAAAGCTACTAATACAAATGGGATTAAGGTCAACTTACTATACCAGTCAAAAATTAGAGATGGCCATTTTGACATCTCCTAAAAAAATAAAAAATAAAAAATAAAAAAATTAAGCTCTTATTTGGTTTAGCTAAAATCAGATTTTTAATGAATTTTGATAAAAGTTGATGAAATATATGATTGAAAAGTTAATAAAAGTTGTGAATTCCATAGAACATGTAGTTAAAATTAATAGTTAACTGTCTTAAACTTTTATCAATTTTTTTTAATTAATCGAAACGGACCTTATGAGATAACATCCATGGCTTTGTCAGCTTGATTGATTTTAGCATGGATTATGGATAGGAAAAAGACAATACTAACAGATATTCAATGATGATTACATTTAGTTTGGCTGCTAGAACTTCACATTCTCACATTTATTTTTGCCTTGCTACTGAGGCAATCTTCTGTGATCAGAAATTCTCTTGTACTTGACTATTGGGTATCCTTCAATTAATGTTACTTACATTACAGGATAAAATGAAACTCTTTTCATTCTTGTTTACGATTATTTATGCCGCGATCACATCCAACACGTATACAAGATGCATACATTGAGTACTTGAAATTACAAATTAGAATAAGAAAACTCTTTTCTGCGCATGCGCAATGAACATATTTTTGAAGTTCCAAGAGGTATGATTTGGGTCGATGCTAAAAAAATGATGCATAAATGGGTTTTGGGAGATGAGGATAGAGAATTTAGGTAGGATTGCCATAATTTGGACAATAATGTTAATTTTATTGAGTGAAAACAAATACATTTAAAGCAATGTCTTATCTAGATCAAAGAAGAACCCTCGAGGTTTGACATGAATGTTAGGAAAACCCACTGTTTTCCTAAGTTGTGTAAATTAATTTAATTGAAAATGCATAGAGGTTTTATGCGAAGTCATTTTTGCGAGTTGTGCTCGGCCCAAAGGAAGACACAGTTTGGCCAAACAACAACGCGCCTATGATGATAAACGTGTGATAATTATAAAGACTTTTCATGTAAACAATAGTCGGTCCAAAGAAAGACTATTGTTTGACAGAACTAATTGTCAATATTTGATCATTGTACTGAGAGTACCACTTACAGTTAATTTCTCTGTCCAAAGACTAGGAATTAATGTTGTACTAGGTATCTTGAGATGGATCCCCAAATCTGGATTATTTGTGCATGTCTTATTTTTCTTATTTGATATGCTTGTTTATTTTGTTCTCTATACAATTTCTATTGCTAATGCTGCGAACATCTCTGCTCAAGTCAGCAACATCCTAATATTGAGTGGGATGAACTTTAAGGTTTGGAAAGAAGCTGTGGAGATTGTCTTCGGCTGTATGGATTTGGATCTTGCACTTCGTTGGGATCGACCCACTTCTACTCCAGAAAATCCCAATAAGAGTAAAATTGAAATGTGGGATCGCTCTGACCAAATGTGCTTGATGATCATGAAACGTTCCATTCCGGAAGCGTTTCGGGGCTCTATTATTGAGAGCGGGAGCGCCAAGAAGTTCCTTGAGGAAATTGAGCAATATTTTGCCAAAAATGAAAAGTTGGAGGCGAGTAACCTTTTGGCTAAACTCGTTTCGATGAAGTATAAGGGCAAAGGGAACATAAGGGAGTACATTATGGTGATGTCTCATCTTGCATCAAAACTCAAGTCGCTTAAGTTGGAGTTGTCTGATGACTTGCTCATGCACTTGATTTTGATATCTCTTCCTACATACTTTGGGCAATTCAAGGTGAGCTATAACACTCAGAAGGACAAATGGTCCTTCAATGAGCTCATATCTCACTGTGGGTAAGAAGAAAAGAGACAGCAGCGTCATAAGACAGAGAGTGCTTTCTTGGCCTCAACCTCTCAGAACAAGAAAAAGAAGAGAGCTAAGGATGCTACGGAAGGATCTTCTCAGTAGAAGAAGCAAAAGAAGTAGTATTAAAGTCGGGACATATGAAAGAGTGTTCCAGGTACGCTGCTTGGTGTGTAAAGAAAGGTATGCTTCTTACTTTAGTTTGTTCTGAAGTTAATTTAGCTTCTATACCTAAGGATACTTGGTGGGTAGACTCTGGTGCTACTACTTACATAAGTATGTCTATGCAGGGTTGCTTGTGGAGCCGATCGCCAAGTGAAGCAGAAAGATTCATCTTTGTGGGCGATGGCAATAAAGTTGCGGTAGAGACTATAGGGACTTTCAGATTACAGTTAAAAACTGGATTTTGTTTGGATTTGTTTGACACATTTGTTGCACCGTCTTTTAGACAGAATTTAATTTCTATTTCTAGTTTGGACAAATCAGGATTTTCCTATTCATTAGGAAATAATAAAGTTCGTCTCTATCAAAATTCAAATTTTGTTGGTTCCGGTTATATGATTGATAATCTGTATATACTTGATATTGTTAGTTCCTATAACGAAATACTGCAAACAAGTTCACGTGGTACAAAGCGAAAATTAAGTGAGAATTCCTCCACTTTATGGCACAAGCGTTTAGGTCATATCTAAGCAGAGAATTCAAAGGCTTGTGTCAGATGGAATTCTCGAATCCCTAAATTTAACAAACTTCGAAGTCTGTGTTGAGTGCATCAAGGGAAAAAGAACAAACATGAGAAAATTAGGTGCAGAGAGAGCTACAAACGTCTTAGAACTAATACATACTGATATTTGTGGCCCATTCCCTACGGCTTCTTGGAATGGACATCAATACTTCATTACGTTTATAGACGATTACTCTAGATTCGGTTACCTGTATCTAATTCACGAGAAGTCACAATCTCTGGACGTTTTCAAGTCTTTCAAAGCTGAAGTTGAACTTCAACTTGGAAAGAAAAAAAAGGTTATCAGATCTGACTGTGGTGGTGCATACTACGGAAGATATGATGGATCAGGAGAACAACTTCCAGGACCCTTCGCTATTTTCCTCAATAAGTGTGGAATTGTTCCGCAATACACCATGTCGGGCAAACCTAGCATGAACGGTGTTGCAGAGCGACGAAATCGAACTCTTAAGGATATTATAAGGAGTATGATGAGCCATTCCTCCTTGCCAGAGCCACTTTGGAGAGAAGCTTTGAAGACCGCAGTGTACATCCTTAACAGGGTGCCGAGTAAGGCAGTTGCCAAAACCTCCTATGAGCTATGGATAGGCAAGAAGCCTAGTATTAAGCACTTGCACATTTGGGGTTGTCCAGCTGAGGCACGGCCTTATAGGCCACATGAAAGAAAACTGGTCTCAAGGAGGGTTAGCTGTTATTTCGTTGGTTACGCTGAACGCTCTCGGGGTTATAAGTTTTACGATCCCACATCAAGATCCTTCTTTGAAATGGGAAATGCAAGGTTCCTTGAGGATATTGAGTTTGGAGGGGAAGGAAACATAAGGAACGTTGTCTTTGAAGAAGAATCTGTTATTGACAGCAATCAGGTCTCTGTACCTATTGTTGTTCAAGACACAGTCCTGGCAATAGATGACAATGCTCAGGCCTCTATCCCTAACATTGTTTCAGACCAAAACAACAATGAAATTCTTTCTCAAGCACCACCTATAGAACAAACTCAACAACCTCTAGAAGTGCCATTGAGGAGATCCACTAGGGAGAGAAGAAATGCGATTCCAAATGATTATATCGTCTTTCTTCAAGAACATGAGGATGGCGTTGGTTTAACGGAGGATGACCCGATCAAC